TCGGACACGCGCTCCAGCATAGACGGACCTTGAAGCCACCATGCTCAGTGAAACGTGCCAGACACAAGAAGTCACATGTTCTGTGTATGTGAAATATCCAAAATGGGCAATATGTGGAGACAAGAAGCAGATGAGTGGTTGCCATGGTTTGGGGGGACGGGGAAGGAGGAGCGACTGCCGATGGGGGTGGGGTTTCTTTTCACCAGTGCTGGAACGTTCTGGAACTAGACAGTGGTAATGGTTGCACAACCTTGTGAATGTCCCGAACGCTACTGAATTGTAGACTTAAAAAATGGTGAAAGTTGTAAATTTTATGTGTATTTTACCACAGTTAGAAAGAAGTTAAGGCCGAGCACGGTGGCTCACGCCTATAATCCCAGCACTCTGGCAGGCTGAGGTGGGAGGATCACTTGAATTCAGGAGTTCAAGACCAGCCTGAGCAAGGGTGAGACCCTGTCTCTACAAAAAAGAGAAAAAAAAAATAACCGGGTGTGGTGGTGGCACCTGTAGTTCCAGCTACTCAGGAGGCTGAGGCAGGAGGATCACTTGAGCCCAGGAGTTTGGGATTACAGTGAGCTATGGTGACACCACTGCACTTTAGCCAGGGTGACAGAGTGAGACCTTGTCTCAAAACAAAAGAAAAACCACAAACACAGAAGTTAATATTTCACTGCGTCCTCTCCGTTCTGATCAGCCCACTGGGATCTATGCCGAGCTTGGATCTATCTCTCAGCATCCTCCAATGACAAGTTCCCGACGATTGTGGAAAGACTGGGAGGTCATCCTCTTCTCCACATTCATGGCTACAGAGGGGACGTGGTGTCTTGACACAGGGCCGTGATTCTCAGTAACAGGACTGGAAACTCTTCTCAGTTTATCAGCTATGAGACACCACCTGCTAGCTTGTCGCCGGGGAAACTTCTCTCGAGCGCAATCCTTCCTTCATCCTTTCTTGTCAACATCAGGTGGACATGTCTAGACGCCCGACAGAGAGGCCGACTTACAGGGCTTTGCTATTTATTCCCAACTAGAGCACACCACGGCCACCATTAACATGGTCTTGCAGACTGAGTGTTCGTGTCCCTAAAATTCATATGTTGAAGCCCCAACGGGGATGGTATTTGGAGGTGGCACCTTTGGGAGGTAACTGGGTTTAGACGAGGTCATGAGGGTGGGGCCCCATGATGGGATTAGTGCCCTTACAAGAAGAGAAAGAGGTCAGATCTCTCTCTCACTGTCTCTCTGTCTCGTGAGAACACAGCAAGAAGGTGGCTGTCTGTCATCCTGGGAGAGAGGCCTCACTAGCGACCTCGACCTTGGACTTCCAGCCTCCAGAACAGTGAAAACTGAATTCCTGTTGTGAAAACCACCCCGTCTGTCATTTTTTTGGTATTTGAGGCACATGCCTCTCAGCTCTTTACTAAAAGCAGAGATTTTGAATTTTCTGCATTTTTAGGGCTCATGACGGCCTGTGTCCGTCTTGGCTGCGGGGGATGTGTACTCAAACCGGTGTAAACAAATGAACAGGATTACTTGGCTCAGGCAACTCGAAGTCCTGTTTTAGCATAAGCCTTGGCAGTTCATCAGTGTCCTAAGGACCCCGTGGCTGTGCGTTTCTCCCTCCCGTGGTCTCAGCCCCTCCCACGTTATGGCTTGTGTATGTGTTGAATTGGGATCCCAAGTGCTGGGCCATCAGGAGGAAGTGGGGGTTGAATAAGAAGTTAAATCTATTTATCAGAAAAAAAGGATATGTTCTCTGGATTTTTTTATTCTGGCAAATTTCGCCATTTTAACCATTTTTAAGTAGGCAGAATTCAGTGGCGTAAGCACATTCACAGTGCTGTGCGACCATCACCAACATCCATCTCCAGAGCTTTCTCATCTTCCCAAGCTGAAGCTCTGTCCCCGTGAACCACTCACTCCCCACCCCCTCCCCAGCCCCTGGCACCCACCATTCCACTTCCTGTCTCTGTGGATCTGACGACTCCAGGGACCTCCTGTGAGTGGAATCACACGGGATTTGTCCTTCTGTGTCTGGCTTCTCTCAGTCTTGGGGACTGAGTATCATGTCCCCAAGGTTCAGCAAAAGAAATAGTCCTCACACGGTGCTCCAAGCAGAAGAGAAAAGAGGGGTCGAGAAAGTCACACCTCGCTTTAAGGAGGGCTGGAGCCCACCTTCCCAGTCAGGGTTCCAGAGCCACACTGACCCTTGGTCCAGACCCAGAATTCCCCTTTGGATGGGGCAGACTGTTTAGGGAGCACATTAAGCGCAATCGACTTGCAACGCACAACGCGGCTTCACCGGTGCGGTTGCCCACACCGCTCACGATGTTAATAAGGCTTGAAGACATCTCGTGCTAATCCTGGGAGGCACTCTCCATCCTGCCGAGTACACCAATTCTTTAATTTAGGGTCTTTAAGATAGAGGGCACCCCTTCAATGCTAGGGGAGACACAGATGGAAATAAAGATCTTATTACTTACAGGTCCTGGGTGGTACACGGCAGGCCCAGAGGAAACACACACACACACACACACACACACACACACACACACACACACACACACACGCAGGCCAAGGAGCCCCAGGCAGGCAGACAGGGACCTATCGGGATCCAAGGGCTACCCAAACAGGTTTTTCCTGGGGAGTTCTAATCGGTGGGTTTAGAGAAAGCAGGCACGAGTTCCATGGGGTCAGGCTGTGACTGAGAGTTGGTCACTCTGGCACATCCACACAGTTCATGCTGGGTGTGGGGACAGCAGGGCTGCATCTAGCTGTCCCAAAGGGAGGTGGCCACCAGGAGGTGGTTGTATAAGGCAGGTGTCTGGATGAGGAAGCGGAAGGAAGTGCAGAACTAGGAACTGTCTCAAGGGTGACCCAGCCCTGCTCTCGGTATGAGTCAAACTTATATGCATAATGGATGATGAGGCGACACAGAGTTATAAGACTTTCTACATTGCTGGATTCTGCTAATATTCTTGCATCTAGGTTCAGGAGAGATATTGCTCTGTGGTTTTCTCTTTTGTCCTGTTCTTGCTTGGTTTGGGTACCAGGGTAATACTGGCCTCATACCTTGGGAAGTATTCCCACCTGTTCTATTTTCTGGAAGATATTGTATAAACGTGCTGTGAATCCTTCTTTGAGTGTTTGGTAGAATTATCCAGTGAAACCGTTTGGACTTGGAGATTTCTTTTTCAGGAGCTTTTAAATAACAAATTCTAATTTCTTTGATGGTGATCAGACTACGTATAATGGTTATAGGAGCATCTATTACATTTTGGTTAAGTTTAGGCAGTTTTAGGGAGTTTAGGCAGTTTGTGCTTTTCAAGGAATTGGTTTATTCCTTCTAAATTGTCAAAATGACAATATGATAATTGTTAATTTACAAAAGAACAACCAATATAGAGTTGTTCATAGTATTCCATTATTATCTTTTTCATGCCTTCTAGATCTGTAATAGCATCCTGTTTCATTCCTGACATTGGTGATTTTGTCTTCTTTCTTATTGTTTTTGTTAATGTTACAAAAGTTTAATCCATTTTATTGATTTTGCAAAGTGTCGGCTTTTAGTTCCATCGATTTTCTCTATTGCTTTCCTGCTTTCAATTTCGTTGATGGTTTTTTGGTCTTATATTTATTATTTTCTTCCTTATGCTTGCTTTGGGTTTATTTCGCTCTTCTTTTTCTAGTTTCTTGAGAAAGAAATGTCTCGCACCTGTAATCTCAGCACTTTGGGAGACCGAGGCCGGAGAATCACTTCAGGCCAGGCATTCAACACCAGTTTGGGCAACATAGTGAGACCTTCATCTTGACAAAACATAGAAAAATTAGCTGGGTATGGTGGCCCACACCTGTAGTCCCAACTACTGGGAAGGCTGAGGCAGGAGGATCGCTTGAGCCCAGGAGTTAGAGGTTGCAGTGAGCTGTGATGCAACAGCACTCTAGCCTGGACAACACAGTGAGACCCTGTCTCAAAAAAAAAAAATTGAGATATAACACATATAGAGTACAATGCAGACCTCTCGGATCAAAATGTAGAATATTTCCAGCACACAGAAAACCCCTTGTCAATCAACAATCGCCCCTTCAAGGTAACTGCCATTTTGAGTCCGCTTCAAAGGTTAGTTCTCTCGGTTCTCGAAATTCATGTAAAATTGAATCTTACAGAATGTACTCATTCTGTCTCGGGTATTTCACTCTCTTGCGAAGTTCATCCATGTTGTTCCAGGTATCAGTGCTTTGCCTTCCATTGCTGAATAGTATTCCACCCTCTCGACATGTCTTTTCATCCACCTGCTGGGTTATTGCAATTTGGAACTGTTCTAAATAAAGCTGCTATTCATCTTTTTGTTCCCTGCTTGATACTATGTGACTCTCTTTGGTTAACAGTGTAAACTGTGGAGGAGGACTGTCTGGGTTCAAATCCCCGCTCCACCACTTACCATCTGTGTGATCTTGGGCCAGTTCCCTAACCTCGAAGTGGCTCAGTCTCCCCCTTCTTTAAAATGCAGTATATGTGACCTCCTGCATGTTAGGAAGATTAAATGAATGAGTTTATAAAGCAGTTAGAAAAGTGCCCACTAGAATAGGCAGAAGCAATAACGATTCAGCAGACCAAGGCAGCAAAGCCTGAGGGTCAGAGGGGTGGTGGTTCCAGGAAAAGGAGGGTGCGGTGGCTCACGCCTGTAATCCTAGCACAGGTGCCTGCCCACCCTGGCCCCAGGGGGAGGGGGCATAACAAAATAGCTTTTCTTTACAAGTTATTGGATTTCGCTGACAACATCCCACAGCTCGACCACGCCATGAGTGGACACGTCCTTCTCCCTGTCAACCCCAGGCCGCCCCTCCCCACCTCCCTGAAATTCCCGGGAGATCTGGCCCATCCCATTCTCTGACCCCTCCCACTTTTCGGGTAATATGTACTGACCACTTCCCTGTTTCTCTTCCTCAATGAGAGTAGATTTAAGGTGTATGGATTGTGGGGTGGGGAATGAGAGCCATGGTCCCCAGGAATCTTGAACATTGAGGGGCAGTGCGGGGACATGAGTGACTCCTATGACCAAGGTCTCCTGGGTGAGGCTGGGGCAGGACTCTGGGCTGCAGGGGAGGGGGCCTTGGGGATGGCCAGCTCTGGCCTTAGCCTGCCCGGGCTCTGAGTTGACGTCTATTCATACAGAGGAGGAAGAGCTGAGAACCAGCTCCATCAGACTTTTTGCAAGAGACTTAGGATTCCGACAGATCTGTGGCCTGAAGAGCTCTGCAGGTAGAGAAGGGCTGGGGACCAGGGAGGATGGAAGAGCCTCACAGACTGCAGGGTCCTGGCGGGTGGGGGATGGAGTCCTGGGTCTTTGGATGTGGGGGCTGCAGTCCTGGGTCCTAGGGAAGTGGGGGATGGAGTCTGGAGTCCTGGGTCTTGGGGGAGTGGGGGATGGGGCCAGGCTGTCTCAAGGCCAGGCTGAGGTGGGGACACTGCCTTGCTTGGCCAAGCCTCCTTCCCTCCCTGCAGGGTGTCTGGGCCGCAGCCCCCTGCTGCTGCTGCTCCTCTACTTCATGCTCCTCACTGGACTCCTGGTGACCGTCTTCGTCCAAGGTCAGGGGCAGGTTCTGTGGGTCTTGGGCTTGTAGACCTGGCCCTTCGGAGGTGGCAGGTCCACAAGGAACATGGGGCCCTTGGGTTTCCAGGGGTCTCTCCCGTGGCCCCTTCCACTCTGGGCAGGGGAGGGGAGGGAGGGAGGAGGACGAGGAGGAGGAGGAAGCACCGGGCTCCCCATGCCCTCTGTGCTGCCCTCTCAGGGTGTCAGTCTTCCTCATCTTCAAAGGGCATTAACCAAGACCTTGGCTCCCAGGATTGATGACCCTGGAGGCCCAGTGCAGGGCGTGACACACAGTAGCTGTTTAATAATTGCAGTTCCTTTTTTCCCGGCACAGTCAGCAAGCTCCCCAGCTCCCTGGCGCAGGAGCGGTCGAAGCAGGAGGAGATTTACCAGGAACTGACCCAGCTGAAGGCTGGAGTTCATGAGTTCCCAGAGAGGTCCAGGCAGGAGGAGATCTACCAGGAACTGACCCAGCTGAAGGCTGCAGTCGGTGAGTGACAAGTCACGAGGGGTCCTAGCCCTGACTGGGCCACCATGGGCTGTGACTTTGCTAGGGTCACCAACCCTCTCTGAGCCTCAGTTTCCACATCTGTGAAGTGGGAACACAGGGTAACGGGCACGATTGCAGTTGGTGTTCACAGGGAGCAGGTATACAGTAGGCACTCAGTTAAGCCAGTCTCCTGGCTGCTGGCTTGAGCTGTAAATCCCCTACTTCTCCCAGTCTGGAGGAGATGGGGCCAGGACTCCTGGGTTCTCCTGGGGATGGGGAGCGTGTCAGGATGTGGAGAGGGGAATGTCCCACCCAGCATGGACAGTCAGGGAAGGGCTCCAACCCCTGAGGGCTTGAAGGGTGGGCAGGTGCCGGACTTTGGGCATGTAGATCTGGGTCCCAGCCCTGGCCCACCTGCCCCAACAGACCAACTGTGCCGCCCCTGTCCCTGGGACTGGACATTCTTCCAAGGAAGCTGTTACTTCTTCTCCGACTCCCAACGGAACTGGCACGACTCCATCACCGCCTGCCAGGATGTGGGGGCCCAGCTGGTCATCATCAAAGGCGAGGAGGAGCAGGTACACCTGAAGGGAGCCTCGTCCTGGTCTGGGGCGTGCAGGTGGCCACTGGCCAGCTTGGCTGCAGGTGCTCAGAGAGGACTGTCTGGCAGTGGGGCTGCTTGTTCTCCTTGGAAAGGCAGAAGGAGAAGGGTACACCCAGGGGGTCTCACACCTTCAGGGAGAGACAGATTCTGAACACCTGTGAATGCTTTCGGGGAGCCCAACAAAGATACATAAGCCCCAGTGGTGTGCTGGCAAATGCCTCACAAGCAGCTCTCTGGGGAAACAAGTCGTCAGCTGTAGGATTTGCCAATTTCCCTGGTGTAAATATTCCCACTGTGGCTGATTTCAAGTAATTGATGTGACGTCCCTCACTGCAGAGCTGAAAAGAGACGTCCTTGGCCCACAGTCACCAACTGGTACAAAATGATTCCAGGACCTTAATCCCAGGCATAAGTGAATTCATGCAAAACAGAAAAAAATACAATATTTCCACTGTCTGTGAGGAGAGACAAGCGGTGCACGTAGGTCTGTAAGTCAGAACCCGTGTGCATGGGACACAGATGTCAGAGGGACTCAGACATGTGGGGCCTCACGACCCGGTATACTAGAGGCTGAAGGTTATACTGAAAGCAGAACTTCCTGCCAAGAGATGGGAAGACACTGAGCCTGGGCAATGGGAAGCAGAGCTCCCCTCTGACTCTTCCTGTATCCTCCCACCCAGAACTTTCTACAGCTGCAGAGTTCCAGGAGGAACCGCTTCTCCTGGATCGGGATGTCAGACCTGACTCATGAAGGCTCGTGGCAGTGGGTGGATGGTTCGCCTCTGCCGCCCAGGTAGATCCGGGAGAAGGGGACACCTATCCCTGGGGCGGGGGCTCTGAGAGCTTTCCCTGGGGATCCCGCCCCACGGCCTGACCCCTCGGGGCTTAAAGGGCGGGATTTTCTCAACTCCTGACTGATGTGAGGAAGGTGGTGTCATACTCACGCTCAGATGGCAACGTTCATATCGGTGCCTAAAGTTCCACCATCAGAGCTGAAGGAGGAGCTTGTTGCCGGGTAGGTGTTTTAAAATATCGTGTATGAATAGCAGTCGGAGATATAGTAAGGCCAATGGCACAGGACACAATTGCTGTTGTAAAGATACCTCGTCCTGCTCACAGATCGCAAAGGTGGAGCTCACATCACACTAGGGGATGTCACCCGGGGTCACTTATAAGACAGAGGGACAGATGGGGAGTGCGGCGTCTGTGGGAAGGAAGGGGCAGGGTGAGCAGCCTTAGGATTGGCCAGTTGGAGTCGTTTCCAGGGGCTCTGGGCATAGGGGCTGCCCCCAGCTGTCTGGCACCTGGTCCTGGGGTGATAAGGACAGGGGGACAGGGGCCCGGATTGGAGAGCCCAGGAAGGAAGGTGGTGGGCTGTGGACCCTGGATTGGTTGGTGTGTGTTTGAAAATCACCCCACTCCGGGTCGAGGACTCCTCCCAAGGAGGGGTACGACAGGGGGTGTCAGGAGGCCAAGGCGCCATGACTTGGGCATATTATGGGTTGTCCAGGGCAATTCCTGTCCAGCATACGGATGTAGGGCAGGTGCTAAAGCATCAAGTCCACAGAAGGTAGAAACGTGGTTACTGTAGAGGGGCGAGGACAGAGGCTCACGTCCTGCACACGCTTTGCAGCTTCACCAAGTATTGGCAGCAAAATCAGCCAGACAACTTCGAGAATGAAGACTGTGTGGAATTCGTAGACAGTAGCTGGAATGACCAGAAATGCGACATTGCCAGATTCTGGATCTGCAAAAAGTCTGCAGCCTCCTGCTCCAGCGAGGAAGGGCGTTTTCCCCCCTCAGCCCCTGCTGCCCCAACCCTGTCTGCTGAACGGCAGAACGTTTCCCACTTTTAAGGCAAACTTCCTTCTCCCCTTCCGGAGACCTTAATAAAACCCTTGCAGATTCCTCATCCCCCGTGGGCTTGGGTCCCGTTCCGTCCTTCCTCTGATACCTGGCGGTTCTCCTGACTTAGAGGTTGTGGTTCCTGCCCATCCCGGGAGCTTTCGCAGTGACCTGGTGTGGGTGCACTCAGGGCTTGGTGTGCTCCGTGAATCTACTCTGTCTTCTCTCCAAGATCAGACTATTGGACTGGCCACGTGCAGCTGCCATGTTCGTGGGGCTTCACCCTCTCGGTACACACCTTCCTTGTGCTCACCTTCCACCTCCCATCCCCTGTGCGCCTTTGGCTGAGCACTTGCTGGTTGCAAGAAGTCATCTTGCAGGCTGGAAGCGCCAGGGAATGAAACCCCCAGTTACCCAGTGGCACCTGCAGATGGCATGGAAACCTTCCCAATACCCTATCCCCCATACATCTGTTTTGTTGTTGCTCTTGCATCTCTTCTGTTTGACTGTTCCTGAGTTGCATCCTTTATAATAACTTGATACATACAAGCAAAGTGTTGTCCTGAGTTCTGCGGGGCATTCTAGCAATTTCCTGAACCTGAGAGGGGGTTGTGGGAACCCTCAATTTCTCATCAGCCAGGTAGAAATGCAAATAGCCTGGGCTCCCCTTTGCAGCCGGCATCTGCCGCGGTTCCATCTTGTGGGATGGAGCCCTTTAACCTGCGGGATTCTGGTTGAACTGCAGATAGCCAGCGCCAGGGGGAAATGCAAGCTGCCCAGCGGGCAGAGGGGAACCTGTGTGGTGCTAGCTTGGAGCTCTCAATGAAATGTTACGAAGTAGATTAAGCACGTGCCAAAGATAACTACTGGGCCCTAGAGGGTGCCCAGCACCTCTTGGGCCCATCAGCACTTTCTTGCTTTAAAGTGGCTGGCTTAGGCCGGGTGCGGTGGCTCACGCCTGTAATCCTAGCATTCTGGGAGGCCGAAGCGGGTGGATTGTTTGAGCTCAGGAGTTCGAAACCAGCCTGAGCAAGAGCGAGACCCCGTCTCCACTAAAAATAGAAAGAAATTAATCGGAAAAATAAAAATATATAGAAAAAACTAGCCGGGCATGGTGGCGCATGCCTGTAGTCCCAGCTACTCGGGAGGCTGAGGCAGAAGGATTGGTTGAGCCCAGGAGTTTGAGGTTGCTGTGAGCTAGGCTGACGCCACGGCACTCACGCTAGCTCGGGCAAAAGAGTGAGACTCTGTCTCCAAAAAACAAACAAACAAACAAACAAACAAACAAAAAACAAATAAAGTGGCTGGCTTAAAGATTGCAATATCATTAACATAACATGGGTATGATGATGATACTGTGCCCACGTGATTTCTTTCACCGTGAACAGGCAAAGATACCATGTAAAAACTTCGCACTACTCAGCTGGGAGGAGATTTAAAGCAGCACCACGGGGTGGGTAGATGTGGGTTTTGCAGGCAGCAAAGCTCTTGTGGAAGAAATCTCTGAGCCGCCCAGGAGCCAGCATCCTTGCAAGTAACCTCTAATTAATTCATGCAACTGGTCAAGCGTTCGGACCCCTCTCAGTTTGCGGGGGGAGCAGTTTGTCCATACAGTCCCAGGAGTTTCCCGAAAAATAGTGTCAAGATTGGAGAATTGTTTGGTGTAAAGAAAGATCCCACAGACTTCACCCCTCTTCTACCAGCATTGGCCCCAAGGATGCTGCTTCATAAACAGCTTGCGTGCCAAATTCCATCTCACTCAGAGTCAAGCTTCACAGGCAGCGTCACTGGGAGGCTTGTTCTACATCGTCTCCCAGAGGCTCCCAGTGGTTCCAAGCCCCCTTGCCCATCTCGGTCAGATGCTCGTCAAGACCTCCGTATCGACTTCCTTCCTTTCCCTCCCTGGCCCTCTTCACTCTCCCCCTCCTCTGCTAGTGTGTCCTGGAGTCTCCTCCCAGATGGACTGCTTGTATCCGAACCCTTGCCTCAGGCTCTGCATCTTGGAAGACCCCAGCTAAGCACCATACATTTCCGTGTCTGCCAGGCATGGTTGATCTCTACCGAAAAGGTCTCATGGGTTCTTGTGTAATTTCTTTTTTACAAGATGCTTGGAAATGGCTTTACCTCTAAAGGTTTTAATTTACTTTTTTTTTTTTTTTGAGACAGAGTCTCACTGTGTTGCCCTGGCTAGAGTGCCGTGG